TAGTGAGACCTGGCGCCCCCTTCTGGCATGCGGGCACACATAGAAGGAATGTTGTACATATAATAAATAAATAAATCTTTAAAAAAAAAAAAAGATGTTCCTAATCGCCAGGTGGTGGTGGTACATGCCTTTACAGGTGGAACTCTGTGAGTTTAAGACCAGCCTGGTCTACAAGAGCTAGTTCCAGGACAGGCTCCAAAGCTTCAGATAAAGCCTGTCTTGAAAAGCCAAAAATAAATAAATAAATAATGCATATAATGGGGAACTAGAGAGAAGATTCAAAGATTTAGAACACTGGAGGCTCTCCAGAGGACCTGGGCTCATTTCCCAGCACCCATATGTTGGCTCACAATGGTCTATAATCCTAGTTCCAGGAGATCTGACTCCCTCTTCTAACCTCTGTGAACACAAGGCATGCACATGGTATATAGACACACATGCAGGCAAGACACATTTACACATTAAAAAAAATACCATAAGTGATCCAGGCAAGGTGGCACCTGAGAAGCAGGGGATCAGGAGTTGGAGATCAACCTTGGCTACATAGTGAGTTTGAAGTCCACCAGGGCTACATAAGACCCTTCTTAAGAAAAATAAAAGATAAAAAATCCTCAGGCTGTAGAGATGGCTTGGTAGGTCAAAATACTTGCTGTGTGATCCTCGTAAAGCTGAGGGAGAAAGTCAGCCCCACAAAGTTGTCTCGCTTTCATACACACGCTGGGAAACACAGGCATCCCACTCCCACATCATATACAGAAACACAGCAATAACAAATTAAAGGGTTTTTTAAAGAAAAATGGCATAAACACAGTCTTAGTTACTTTTCTATTGCTTTGAGGAAACACCATGATCAAGGCAACTTATAGACAGAAGGGCTTGGGGTTTGGTTCCACAGGGAGAGGGTTGGATCCATCGTGGCCGAGAAGCATGGAGGCCGGAAAAGCTGAGAGCTCGCGTGTTGAAATACAAGCAGGAAGCAGGAAGGGAGAGGCCTCAACACTCATTCCGGGAGTCTTTAAGCTTTAACTGGCCCCTACAGACATACTTCCTCCGGCAAGGCCACTCCTCCCAATCCTTCCAAAACAGGGCCACCAATTGGAGACCAAGTTTTCAAATGCCTGAGGATACAGGGGAGGTCTTATTCAAGCCACCACAAGCACCTCATATTTTTGAGCTTTTGAGCAGGACTCCCAATTTCTAAAAATTCCTCTGACAGCACCTCGGTTTGCCAGGCTCCTCCGCTCTGACCAGGGCTGTTTTCTTTGATGAAGGATCAGCCTTTGGGTTCTGAAGTGGTTACCTATTCTCTTGCAGGTGTTTGAACATCATCCTGTGGTTAGGATACTGGGCTGTGCAGCTGAACGTCTGTTTGTCTCGGATCTACCTCGCGGCTCACTTTCCCCACCAGGTTGTGGCTGGAGTCTTGTCAGGTATCCGCAGCTCTGACTCCTTCCCCACCCACTTCCTATTCCTTCTGGATTTTCCTTGCACAGCGTCCTGTCAATGTTTCAGTGGCTTCAAAGTCAAGGGTGGGTGGGTGGGGGGCTAAGGAAGTGGCTTCGTCTATAAACCAGCATGAGGACCTGAATTTGGTCCCCAGCACCCACTTAAATTGGCAGCCACAGTGGCTCATGCCAGTGATCCCAGAGCTGGGGAGGTAGAGACAGGAGGATCCCTGGAGTTCATTTGGTGAGGCTCAGGTTCCAGGGGCAGACCCTATAAAACAAACAAACAAACAAAACCAAGCGGATGCTCCTGAGGAACACCTGAGGCTGACCACTGGTCTCCACAGCACAAGCTCACACACACACATGTGCATCCACACACGTAAACACACAAGGACACAATTGAAATTATTAGTTTGCACAACATTCCCGAGCTAAACTACTAAAAGTATCCCAGAAAAGCTAACTCATCCAACGAAGCTTGTCTAAAGTCCCCAAGCTTCTTTTTTTCATTAAAAAAAAAGATTTAGTTATTTATCATGTATGCAATGCTCCACCTACATATATGCCTGCACACCAGAGGAGGGCACCAGATCTCATGAGCCATCGTGGTTGCTGGGAATTGAACTCAGGACCCCTGGAAGAGCAGCCAGCGCTCTTAACCTCTGAGCCATCTCTCCAGCCCCATCCCCCAAGCTTCTTACCTTCTTTATTTCTCATTGATCTTCAATTTGAAGCAGCCCCCCATTCCTTCTCGGAGAACCTACCAAAGGCACAATAACTAGAGAGAGTTCCTTATTGAAATACATCCGTCTGCGGACCTAACAGATGTCTGCAGTTGGTGTTTGCGCGTGTGCATTTTCTGAGATCCAGTCAGTAAGAGAAAGAAAGGATTGAGGTTAAACATTAAAAAACAAAAACAGTCTAGATTTGGGGCTGGAGGGGGCAGAACAGATCCATTGCAAGGGCCTGCGTTTGATCCCTGGAACCCACATGTCAGAAAAGAGCCAACTCCATCTAGCTGTCCTCTGATTTCCACACGTGAGCTATGGCACGTGCGCCCACACACATACACTCAAACACAAGGTAAATGAAATGTGTAAAAAGTGACAATAAAGCCGGGTGGTGGTGGCACACGCCTTTAAGCACTTGGGTGGCAGAGGCTCTCTGAGTTCAAGGCCGACAGCCAGGGCTGCGCAGAGAAACTTTGTCTTGAAAAATCCAAAAATAAATAAGTGGATATAAAAATAAAAATGCCTGGTAAATGAACATATGCTTGTAGAAGCTATGTCACACACACAAAAAAATGGGGATGCTTTGGCTAGAGAGGAAAATGTCATCAACTGTGTGACCAAGGGTTTAAGTGAACAACTTATTAACTTCTGTGGAAGGGACTGTCACCAACAGATGGTATTGGACGGTGACAACAGTCTGATGAGATGGCTCAGTGGGTTAAAGCATTTGCTACCAAGCCTGACAACCTGAGTTTGAAACCGGGACCCACATGGTAGAAAGAACAGCTCCTGTAACTTGTCCTTTGACCTCCACACAGATGCCATGTCACATGTAGGCCTGCCCACACACGAACAGACATGCTTACATACACATACCCAACAAATAAATAGATTTGGTAAATTTTAAAGCAAACAGATAAGAAATAATAAAAGCAGACAAGTCAATCCAAAACTGAAAGAATGGGCTTGTCTGTGGGAATGCGTTCCATCCCGGAGTGTATGCAAGAAGAAACATGCCACACAACAGGAAACCCAAATTCAGTGGGAAAGTGTTTGAGATGCGATTCTTCCAGCTGAAAGACACTCTGCTATTGAGGACTCTGGTGTGTGACTTAATTTCACCTGGTGAGATGCTGGCCTGTCACCCTTTGTCGCCTCAGTTTCTCACAGTGCTTTCTCCTGCACAGGCATTGCTGTGGCTGAAACTTTCAGCCACATCCGGGGCATCTACAATGCCAGCCTCAAGAAATATTGTCTCATCACCTTCTTCCTCTTTGGCTTCGCCCTCGGATTTTACCTGCTGTTGAAAGGCCTGGGGGTAGACCTTCTGTGGACCTTGGAGAAAGCCAAGAGATGGTGCGAGCGGCCGGAATGGGTCCACCTCGACACCACGCCCTTTGCCAGCCTCTTCAAAAACCTGGGCACCCTCTTCGGGTTGGGGCTGGCCCTCAACTCCAGCATGTACCGGGAGAGCTGCAAGGGAAAACTCGGCAAGTCGCTCCCATTCCGCCTTGCCTGCATTGCGGCCTCCTTGGTCCTCCTGCACCTCTTTGACACTTTGAGACCCCCATCCCAGATTGAACTGCTCTTCTACGCTTTGTCTTTCTGCAAGAGTGCGACGGTTCCCTTTGCCTCTGCCAGTCTCATCCCCTACTGTCTAGCCCGGGTTCTGGGCCAGACACACAGGAAGTCTTTGTAAGGCATGTGGAGGCTTTAGTATTTAAAGTCAACAACCATGCAAAGGACTGGAGACTACCAAAGCCTTCGGCATCCTGAGGCCAGAAGTGTTCACATCAGCCCTGGTAACCCTGTCTTTCTCTGCTTTCCTAACCAAAAGGGTGAATTTTTAAATGCTTACAGGGCTGTTTGAGAAAAACCTTGAGAGCTAGAAGTTGGGTCATTCTGGAATCTTCCCTGAAGGCCCACGTGCCATTCTCCTGTCAGACATAGATCCTGACTGAGAATTCTCTCCCTGTGCAGGATGCCCCCAGCTGGGAAAAGAGCACAGTGCATTTGCAAGGAAGAGAAAGAAGGACCAGGAGGAGGGGCAAGTGCTTTCTGTATTGAGCAGATCACAAGCCAAGCCTGTTATGTCTGAGTCTTTAGAGGACACTCTTGATAATGGCAGACCACCTTAAAGTGAAATGAGCAGTCAGTTAAAGGCAGGAATTCTGCTGCCCGCTTTTCTCTACTGGGTCCCGAATGGCTATTGTGACTATGTCACTACGTACGTCAGAACACACAGGCATCAGCAACTTCTCGGTCTGTCTCCTCCTCAGCCTATGTCTGAGTTTCCTAGAATTCTCCACTGGTCCCCTGCCCCTGCGGCTGGACCCTTAGATGGCCAGTGGACAACTGTTTGGTGGTGCTTTTTGTAGGGTTTAGTGAAACTCTGAAATCTTGGGTGAAAGGGCAAATGGAGAGCCAGGATCCTCTCTCCAGAAGGTCACTCCGACGTTACTCATGATTCCTGGAGCAGAAATATGACGGCTTTCTCTAGCCCAAGCCAGCCAAGAACTCATTCTTAGAGAAAAAGCCAGCTCCCCCGTGCCTGTTTTCCAACCTTCGCTAATTTGCAGAGTATATCTTCAAAAAGAAAAAAAATGTTGTAGCTATTTATTCAAAATGTCTTAATTTGCTACGAATTATAAATATATTCTCATTCTCACCCACACATGCTCCCTGTTCCTAACATCTTTGAAAGCTACATGTATGTAGTATTTTATTAAAAGAACATTTTATTTAAAAATGGAGTCTTGCTTATTACTCTATTTTATTTTGTCTTTATTATTTTTATTTTTCTTTTATGTGTATGGGTATTTTGTCTGCGTGTGTGTCTGTGCACCATGTGCTTGCTGTTGAGTACAGATTCCAGAAGAGGGCATCAGATCTCCTAGAATCAGAGCTACAGTAGTTGTGAGTTGCCATGTGCTTGCTGGGATTGAACCCAGCCCTTATAACACATGCAGAAATATCAAGCATGGTTGTACACATCTATAACACCAGCGATGGTGAGATGTGGGCTTAGCTTAGCAGGTGACATTCCAGGCCAGTGAGAGATCCTGTCTCAAAAGATGGAAGGTGTTTAAAAAACAATGCATGAAGCTACACACATACACAACACCACACACACACACACACACACAGACACACATATACACAGACAGACATACACACAGACACACACACACAAAGGAAAAGCAGATGACAGAAAAAGAGTTCTATCACAAGCTGGCTAAGAGGAACTTAAAGGGCCACCTTCCCTCCTGGGAGGCTGACTTAAGGGCAGTTTATATAGGAAATAGGGATTGCAGACTGATGGGCACATAGCTGAAGATTTGTATTCAAAGCACACCCATCTAATCACCAAGTAAGATGCCTTCAATTCCGCAGATCTCAAGAGCAAAGATCAGCTGAACTTCGTAGCGCAAACCTTTGCTCCCCAACATTCAGATGTGCTAGTTCAAGACTAACCTGAACTGCAGAGCAAATTCAAGGCCAGGCTGAACGATTTAGTGAGACCCTGTCTCAAAGTGAAAAAAAAAAAAAAAAAAAAACAAAAGGACTGGGAAATGACTCAATTGTTAAAGTGCTTGCGATGCTCGCGTCATGACCTGCGTTCGCTAATCAGCACCCATGTAAAAGCCAAAGCCGGGGCAGTGGCACATGATGTAATCCCATAGACAGGGAAGTGGAGTCAGGAGGATTCCTAGGGCATCCTGCCTATCAAGTCCAAAGGAAACTCCATTTCCCCAAATTCCAAAAGGCAGAAGGGACAAATACCTGTGGTGCTTATTGGCTCACCAAAGTGCATGCTGGCTGCCAGCTCCCTCTTATCACAAGTACATGGTACAGATCTCGAAGTCCATACCAGTATCTTAGCTCTTCCCATCTCCCCCACCTTAACCTCCCTCCAGCTCACGGGCTTCCCCACCCCTGCTACGCATTCTCCTTATAACCCTGCTATTTTGACTACTGCTCACTCTCTGTCTCCCTCCTCCTCCTCCCACACTTTCCCTCGCTCTACATCTCTCTCTGTGTCTGTCTTCTGCACTCTATCTCCCTTCTCCTCCTCCTCTCTCTCTCTCCGTTCTGTGATGGCCAAAGTTCTGTTTTATGTTTAAGTTACTCTGCTTTACTGATCCATAAAGCAAAAAAACGCCTCTAATCTGTGAGCCCCATTTGCCCAAAGACGGATGACTTCCGGGAAAGCTGGAGGCAGCTGATCTTGTAAGATAACGAGCCATGTGTTTTCACTTCTGTAAACAACACGGGTTGCTCCAACTGCAGGATGTGCTCCATCCCATGTAGGCAGAAGCTACATAGGCAGGGAGTATGCCAGGGTGTGTGCTTGCCCCATTGGGTGGAAGGGGAAAGGACGAAGCTTTCGCCTTTATAAGCACTGGACTGACATAATTTGCAGTCATTCACCGGAAATACCAGGTATGGACCTGGCCAGTGTCCCTCATCCTGTCCAGTATTTATAATAAAGTTTGCTTCAAAGTTGGCTCAAAATTTATAGTATTGGTCTTATTCTCGCTGGGTGGGACTAACAGTTCTCTCTCTCTTGCTCGCTCGCTCTCGCTCTCTGCTGCTCCTGTTTCTCTCATGGCCAGGTCCAGAGTGCTGGCCACGTCTAGTCTATTACCTTCTCTGTTCTAGACTCTTCCAGATACCTCTGGATGTTCTCTCTCTCATATCTACAGTAAAACCTTCCCTTCAACTGTACCAAGGAGTGACCATGATCTAGCTTAGTGACCAGAGTATCTAGTGTATATAAGGCTGTTATAGAGATGGATACTTTGTACTGGTATGAATCTTGGTTTATTGATAGAAGTTTTAGGTCAAATTTTGTTATATGTATATTTCTGCTCTTGGTTAAAATATCATGTTTGTGTAGCTCATTTAAACATGTAATGTATAATTAAAAATATAGGTTAATAGATAATCATCTATAATAGTCAAGCTTGTAGTCATGTTGGTTAGATTTTCTAGGTTTATAGAGATATTTCAGTTAGATAGGTATTCTTTAAATCTTTCAGAGACCTTCAGAATATGGCATTTAAAATGTTTAAGAACTTAAGACTTTTCATGACAATGAAATATATCTGCTCCTGGCAGCACCAAGCTACTTCAAGAGGAAGATGGATATCGAAGAGGCTCTTTATGGAGTTGGATAGCCATTTGGGCAAGAAACTGCTCTTGCCTGGACTGCTTGACTGGACATGCAGGACCCACAGAGAAATGACTGCTGAACTTGCCTAAAGGTGAGATGATCCTCTGGGGTTCCTGCTTCATGAAAGAGTCTGCAAGACAGGCCGGGTGGTGGCGGCGCACGCCTTTAATCCCAGCACTCGGGAGGCAGAGGCAGGCAGATCTCTGTGAGTTTGAGACCAACCTGGGCTACCAGAGCTAGTTCCAGGACAGTCTCCAAAGCCACAGAGAAACCCTGTCTTGAAAAACCAAAAAAAAAAAAAAAAAAAAAAAAGAGTCTGCAAGACATGCTGCAGGACACAGAAGAAGTGACCGACAAACTGCCAATATAGGATGAACTGTCTTTGAAATTTCCTGCTTCATAGAAAAGTTTGCTGTATACTATGGGCCTGTAGGCTGAAGATGGACGCCCCAACAGTACAGAAGAACTTTGGGTGACTATCCAGGCAGTGAGATGTCTCTATCAATTCTAGAATTTTGAAAGCTGCTTATAATGCACTTATATTATACTTATACCCAAGTATAATATTACTTAGGTAATATTATATTCTTCTGGAGTCGTTGATGGGGTTGAAGAATTTATAGTTATAGTTTTCTCTAGTTATAATAAAAGATAAAGTAGATATAAATATTATAACTGTAATTCTTGCTTAAAATGTGTTTTGTTATATATAATTTTACTATGTTAAAATTAAAACCTTCCTTTTTATTTAAACAGGAGAGGGGAGGTGATGTGGGATTTCCTTCTGTACCATTGATTAATAAAGGAACTGCTTTGAGCCTATAGCAGAGCTATAGGGGAAGAGAGCTAGGCAGGGGAGGGGAGAAACTAAATAGAATGCTGGGAAAAAGAAGGGCGGAGTCAGAGAGATGCCAGAACTTTAGCGGGTAAGCCACAGCCACATGGCAATACACAGATTAATAGAAATGGGCTAAAATTAAGATGTAAGAGTTAGCCTAATGTTAGAGCTAATGGGCCAAGCAGTGATTTAATTAATGTAGTTTATGTGTGATTATTCTGGGGCTAAGCGGCCGCGAACCAACAAGCAGCACCTCCCTCCAACATAAAGCCACAGGTGTCCTCTGACACCAAAAGCAGTGAGGGTAAGAGTTTTATTTCCTGAAATTTTTCTGGTCCCATTTTCCCACGTGCAGCTCCGGACATGTTATACAATGGGCAAGCTAGGTCGGCGGGGCACCTTTCCTGAAGGCTCGCTTGCTGATACTAAACTCACCTGCTAATTATTGGGAAAGACAAGGGTCAGGTGAGGTTAAGTGGGCAGGCAGACCACAAGCTAGCTGCGCTGCCAAGCTTCAGAACTACAAAGATAGCGTTGGCCCAGACGGCATACTAGTTACCAGACCAAAGGTCAGCCAGAGTTGTTCAGGGATCACATTGCATCTTGAGGGAGGGTGGGGGCAGAGCCACAGCCAAGTGAAGCAATAGTCATTGCGTGCAAGAGTGGATGAGTGGGTGGGGGCAGGACAAGACAAGTGGCAGCTGTCAGCAAGGATTGGGGTTATAGGTAAAGAAAGCCCAAGGCCGCTCAGCTCAAAACACCCAGAAACCTCAGGGGAACTACAGCAAGTTTCTGTTGGACAATTTATTTCATCTTGGTTCACAGTCCCACCTCCAAAGCCTCCCCCTGTCCCCCTCATAACCATCACGCTGCACTGCCTGTGGCAAGAGCTGACTGATTGGCCCAGACTCCTGGAACATGTTTATTTCAGGAGGGTGGATTTTCAAACTAGCCTGGGGTTCTTCAACACGGCTAAGCCTATCTGAGATACTAATAGTCCCAGGGAGAAGGGTGTTGGCTCTCATCTGTCTAAATGAACCCTCAAGGGGCTAGAGAGATGGCTCAGTGGTTAAGAGAATTGCCTGTTCTTCCAAAGGTCCTGAGTTCAATTCCCAGCAACCACATGGTGGCTCACAGCCATCTGTAATGGGGTCTGGTGCCCTCTTCTGGCCT